CCTCGTTCGTTCCTAAGATTTCGCCTTCCGCCTTTGAGCGATAACATCGCCATTAAATTTCTCACACTCTGCGAAAAGAATCTAATTCTAATGTCGTTCGAGCGCGAGTGGCTTGTTGATTTTACTGATTGCTAGGCGTTATCTCCTTACGCAAGGTAATTCTCCATGATAATTGCCAAGTTCTTTTGACGATACAAACCGTCGTTTATATGAATTTCATTTACTTAGACTGAATCTGCAATTGATTAGATAAAATTCATGCGAGTGAAAAATTATTGACAGTGGAGAGACGATCGTTGGTTGTGTAAAATATTTGTCTTTCGACAAATTCATAGAAAAATGTATGTTACACAAAGCATTCTGAAACTTTATTAAAACTTAAATTAGATATTGCAGCCTGTTAGATAATTAATTGTTTAAATATTCTGCGAAATATACAATACCATTTGAAAGTTTGGAGCATCCATCACATTCAAATTGAATGCGATCATGACTGGACTGCGGATTTTAACGCGTCGTTGTAAGAAAAATTCAATTTTAAGGTACGCAAAATTGTACAGAATTGTACGTAATAGAATAAAATGTATAAAACACAATAAAATATCTATGCCGCGTAAAATAAAATTCTACCAGGATTCTTCTCTTTCAATTTTATCTTCAATAATGCGAATTTGTATGAAAATCCACAATCCAGCCGTGAGAATCGCGTCTCATTACAATATTAATAAATTCTATTTTACGTTCTCTTTCTCGTTTCGTCGCAAACGCGTCTACGTCGATAAATAATTCACTGTTTAACCATTTTAAAGCGACAACTCGCGACAGACGTGCTGCCAGTCTCTTAGCATATTTCGTCGAGTTCATTGGAAATTCTCGCCGCAACAACGACTCGTCTACGGAAGCTGCGACAAGGGCCGACGCGCAGATAACCGGGGCGGACGGTGTCACTCAATGGTGCGCACGATATCCGGCGGAAATGCCGGATAAATCTGTCGGCGGGCGAGTGACCAGAACGATCGCCAGATATCCTCGCGTGCACGCGCCACCGAAAATTTAGCATATCGATTCCACGCTTGGACGCGAAATGCCTATCGGGGGTGAATGTTTTCCTTTTCTCTCTCTTTCTCTCTCTCTCTCTCTTTTTTCCACCAACTACGGTTCCCGATCGGCCGATTATAATTGCATCGCGCCGATTGACACTGATTCTGATATTGCGACGCTTCGAAGCCGCTCGAACGTCATTAATGGGATTTCAACGGGGCGGCGCGTGCGATTTCGCGACAATAACACGGTTATGGTTACGATAATGGCTGGCGACAACGACGGCGGAACTAGCGACAGCTCTATTTTTGTGTCGAGCTCGTGACGCAATATTGGTCTAGTACGCGATACTTGGACAGGATGGACAAGTTGTGAAAGTCGGTGCTGTCTCGTCGAACTTTAGATTGCCTAACGAAACGAAACGAACTCGATCCTTCGTGGTCCTGTGTACACACTGTTTGATTGAATTTTAGTTTCTAGCATATCCACTTTCGATTCTGCCAATGCCCAGTTTGCCTGAACGAAAGTTTATTTCAGCGAATCTTGCTTTTAAATCGCGTATCAAATTTAAATGCGTTGATCTTGTTAAGTTTATTAAGAGAGGCGATTACTTTTATTCCTTCCTGATTTTGTCGATTTCAATACAGGCCACAAACAAAAGTCAGATTACGATACAATATATTCTCAATAATATTGCGAATATCTCTCAGCTTGATGCGAATTTGCAAGATTTGAGAAATAGAAACGTACATACTTCGTCCAGCCAAGAATCTTTGACGAATACTGATATTTGTAGAAAATCCCGCCCGTTGACGGGACTACCCGATTAAACATTATTCTGCATTGCGACAGTTGCCGCTGAAAAAGCGACATTTCATAAATTCGGTCGTTTTGGTAACTGAGCATCTGGCCACAACAGATTTTGAACGCTATTGTTATCGCGGACATGTTGAAGCGGTTGAAGTACAAATTGCCACGCGAAAGCTGGAAAACTTTGAAGTGGTGCTCATTGCGCGTGCAAGGTGCCGACGAGCAGGCAATCGAAGCTGATCCAACGAGCGTGGAACGAGAACGTAATTCCAAACTCAATTCGAACGAGCTTTGGTGGGGGGAAAAAAAAGGAAGCGTGCCGTAAGTTACGAGCCCGACTTGCCGCGACCGATCGAACTCGGTTTGAAGAGCGGGAAAGCATCGGCGGGAATGGAAGTTGGCGCCCAATTGCCCGTCGCAACGGCAAATATTTGAAGATTAAAAAGTCGACGAGCATTTATTGTCGGATCGGTGTAAAGTGATGCAAGTGACCGGCGTCAAACGTTCGCAAGGTTAGATAGTCTAATAACGACTTGCAGCCACTTCGTAATGGAAGCGTCTACTGAAAATATTCTTCGGTCGTTTTTTTTCTTCTTCCGCGAAATTCATTCGAAATTTTCCGCAATTCGAGGAATTTCTTTTTTTTGCTGCGTCGCGCTTCCTTTATTTTGTTTCAAGTTCTAACGTGAAATTGGTAAGACTGACCGATTGAGACTTCGGTCATTATTGTTTCGTAACAACGTGCACAATAAATTACAGTGAGGCGCGCAATTGAACCAATAACGATGAGAAACTGTCGATACTTCAAACTTTACTAGTTAGACTACTTTATAAGTTCGCGGAAAAAGAGTCGCGCGACAGTTTATTTGATCTCATTTTAAAGCGTGAAGTCTCTACTTTGACAGTTGCGAATTCATTCCTTTCAAAGATGTTCTTACATTGTGTAACGAATGGGAAAGACAAACGTCTTCTGAAAATATTGGAAACATTTATTCACGGCTATGCTTGTCACGGTCTTAACGATTGAAATTTTCTCTTTACGACGATCTCTTGTCATTTTGTTGAATTTTGAACATTAGTGTTAGACGATGATGTTCAAGGATCAATAAAATGGCAAATTCCTCGAAAATTGTACAAATTTTGTGGAATTGTTGTAAAGGACAGACTTTAATCTTCAAATCTAATCATGAAAAAAATTTTTCCATGACTGTTCTTATGATATTACAGTGTGAAATATCAAGTTTTCATTGGTTGACTTATGTTCTACATTCAGTTTTCAATAGTTTACATGAGTCTAGTTCTAATCGAAAATTGACGGAGGCAGGACTTCGATTGCGGATTGGACACACAAAATTTGTCAACTCGCGTTTCTCTCTTTCTTCCAACGACATGCGTTTGATTTCGATTCAAGACTGGGCCGACTAATAATCGAGAGTTCAGCTAGCGCGTACTATGGGAACGCGTATGGTAAACTAACATAATAGTTAACAAGCTGGAACTTGCGGCACATGGGACGGGAAATTATCTAAGCTACGTTCTCTGGTAGTCTAATATCGATTCGCGTTCACGGTTTCCGAAAATTAATAATTGCCACCTATCGACAAGTATGCGGGGAGCAACAGCTGCCGAGGCTAATATTGAATTAACAGGGAGCCTCGAATAGAACAGAGGCGCAAGAATTTTCGATGGTGCTCCGATGAGAATATTCGCGGAAGGTCGCCCGTGTTCGATCGATCACCTCGTGCTGGTGGTAACCTCCCTCGCGAGGAGAAAGACGACGTTGTGGAATTTCCCTCTTTCCTTCGACGACGACGACGACGACGAAGAATCGCGAGAATTGATCGCCGTGCCTCGGAGAAATAAGTCAGTGGCTTTCGTTTCGGACCACCCCGCGATATTATGAAAGCAGAACGATAATATCACTGGCTCACAGTGGTTGCGAACGCGAGGGAGCTGTCGGAATCGTTACGGGCGTTGCGTGCGGTAAATAGATAAATGCCGACTAAATGTAGAATAATCCCATGCGTGGTCAGATATTTTTAAGTAGAACGAGCCTGTTAATGGCCAGACACCTTGAGGTAAAACGAGTCCGCACGTGATCAGACATCTTGAAGACAGGGCGCGTCGAATCGAGAGAATGTATTACCACGGAAATAATTTGCATTTAGATCCCTCTCTCGACATTTCAGCCGGGGAGATCCTGCGCTTCACCCGAGCTTTTGCAACTCTTCTGCAAAATTTCGTGCCTGGAATTATGTATCATTTCCTGGCGATGCAGAGACTATTTCGTGGTTGATTCGGTATTAAGAGATATTGTTGTTTATTATTAGATTGAATTCTGCTTTTTTTTTTTTTGGAATTTTCTGTTTCTGACAAACCTGCGTTGATTTCAACCGAGTTTTGTGTGACTGATTGTCTTAAATACACCAGCAGCGTACAATCGATTTAATGACTTTTTTTCTATATCTTCTCTGCAGTTTTAAGAAACTTTGAATGGAAAAACATCGAAGTTAAGAGATGCATTTATTTTTCGGAATTAAATCAAGCTTAAACATCGAGGACGGTTTGGAGAACTCAGAATTTTCTTTTAGCATTTCAATAGAAATTGACGTGCCATGAACATACGAATTCTCGAACTTGCAAGAAATACGCTACCTGGGATGAGACGTGAATTGTTTCAACATCTCAAAAGCGGTCAGTTGTTTGCGATGGTTGCCAATGTTGGACAATTCAGCCTCGTTATTCCCCGTTGGTTATTGGCAAACTGTCTAGAAATAGCAATTTGTAGACCCTTATGGGAAGAAAGTGGAAACGTAGACTTGAAACTCTTCGCGGTTACCAATTAGAGATTTTTAACAATTGTCGCAAGTACATTGAGCAGAGATTTCAAGAGCAAATTCATACAATCTGTTCGAATGGTATTTTTATTTCCACGTCAAATCAGGAATGAGAAGATAGCGAGGATCATAGATATTTATGGTTATTATTAAACAGTATCCTTGCACGTCCGAATTATTGAAAAAGAAAGATGAAAATCGACAACGTGGATCCGAAATATTTATGCGAAATGATCCATCTTTTTTCGAATATTCAACGATTCAGTCGATAGACGGTGAATTTAATCTGAAACACTTTTCTCGTGCTTTCAGCGATCATTCATGGCTCGTACATCAGACACTATAGCGCCGTTTGGTACGACACGGCGGCTCTAAGGGAACATCGCAGCAGAAGTCGTCGTGACACTTCAGCTTCCGGGCATCCGGGTGACGCGACGCTGAATCTACGTCTTCACGCTCTCGACAGGTTCGTAAAACCACGTACCACTCTTTGCTCCCGACGTATATACGTGCAGAAAAGAAAAAGAAATCTGCCGGCGATGGTAACGCGGTCAACAGGGGAATGAGAAATAGACGAAGAACAGTGGGGCGGGGGCTGGAGGGTGAGAAAGAGAACGAGAGAGAGGAAGAGAAAGAGAGCTTTATCGAGAAAAATTCTAGTTTCTCGCTGCTGTCAAAGGCGGAATAATCTATGGACGAACGGCCGTTTTACCGGCACCTGGAACAGAGGAATATAAATTTTCATTTTGGATCAACGTCGACGGACAAACATTGGCCGCGATGTATAAATGATCTCGGTCGTTGGATGAACCCGCACCAATCTCGGATTTTACTAAAAGTCTGGTGAATATTCGAGTTTCTTCAACGATAGAGCGCGAATCACGTATAATGAGACGTATATCCTTTTTGTCTTAATTGGTTAATCCATTCGTATCTGAGAATGAAATGTCTCGTTCACAATAAATTTCAGACAGAATGAATTTCCATACGTTCTTTCAGGAATATCGATTTTGTAGTTAAAAGTTTCGATTTTAAATATCATAGTTAATTGAAGCTTCGATACTTGAACGATATCGACATCGTGAAGAAAATATTTGTAAAATAATAAAATATTTCTTTCAAAGTCTTATCAAGCTCGAAATTTTTGAAAGGAAGAATGAAGATAAAAGCATTAAATATATAAATAATACATGCAGAAAAGGACGTATATTTAAAATTATTTTAATGCATCGCTGAAAATCACATGACGCTGCAGCAACACAATATCGATCATCACAATATATATACAAAGTAAAATAATTTATTTGGAAAAAACAGAACATTTCTTTATTTAGAAGAAGAATTCACTTTTATCCGATTCGTTGGACGAAATATCTCGAGTTCTAGTGAAAAGACCAGATACTTTATCCAAAGTGTTACGTGAACGATATTACGTGGCGAGATATCTCGTCGAAAACGGCACACGAGCGACATTGCGTTACAAGATATCTTGTACAAAACGTATCACGAACGACATTCCACGGCGGGATATTTCGTCTACAAATGCGAAAAGATCAACCCTTTACGATCCATTGATTTCGTTAAAGTGTGGAAACGAGAAGCACGTTAATTTCAAAAATAAATTTGAACAAATCAAGTAAAACACGATTATATATACTTTTATAATTAAATATTTGATGCTCGTTAAATAAAACTTTCTGGAAGATATACTCTTATAGGCATAGCAAATTTGTTTAGGGCGACTGAACAATGAACTTGTTTAATTCATATACTCAATATGAGTATACGTATGAATATACATATGTATGTCCAAAATGTTTGTGGACCGCATAGGATTAAAATAGATCCATTAACTGCGAGGTCACTGAATTTTTATGCGGTCATGAATTGTCGTTCTGGAAAGATGTCCATATCAGAGTTGAGAAAAGTTTCGCAATTTCCAACGCGTTAGAGCCACGATGATTTTCTACGTGGTCGCGAAGTGACGCTAAGCAAACGTTAGTAGCTTAGCCCGTCACGTTGCACGGAGGTAATTATTTTGTGCACGCGGAGCGCACTTTCTTGCGAGGACGTAACTTTAGGAGCCTAACAGAGGCGAAGAAATCGACTAACCGCGACCTGTTTTGTTATATTTCCGGCGTCTGAAGTTGGACGTGCAGTTCAACGTGTCAAAATGAATCTTCGCGGACGGTTAAATAAATAAAATATACAGCGAACCAGTGAAATATTCAAGTGAAAAACTTTGGCTGAATTGGATGAGAATATTTAATTTTGACTCGGAGTCTTTAAAATCTTTCATTTATATTAATTACGTCGAGTGAAATTGCACGATCATTAAACCGAGCGAAGTTTCAGTAGAAATGGCTAAAGTTAGTTATACAGCCAACTTTATTTAATTGGTTAACTGTTAATATAGAATCAACGTAAGAATAGACAAAAAAATTGTTTCCAAAATTCATGAAGTCATTACACTTTTATTAGTGAAATTGCCGGATTGTTGCGCGAACAAGATTCCAGTGGAAATATCCAAACTTGGTCAGACCTATAAATATGTTATTTTATTCAGCTTATATACATATTTAATCTTTCGTGAAAGTTGACTCAAAACGTTATTTGTAGAAAGTAATCATGGAAAGTATTCAGAAAGAGAAAAATCGTAATGAATATTCAATCGTAAAGTTGTGATACTTTTATTAGTAAAGTTGCCAGGTTATTAAGCGAACGCGGTTTCAGTGGAAACATTCGAACTTGGTCAGACGTATAAATATGTAATTTTATTCGATATAATCAATCTTAATTCAAGTATTATATTCGCAAATTTGAATTTAAATTATTAATTGGTAAAAAATTAGATAAAACGAAGATTCGAATTATTCCTCGTATTGCATTATGCTTCAAATTAGATATACACTCGGCATGATCGCAGCTGCGTATAATAAGGCGTTCCGCGTGTGGAATATGAATGGAATGTGGCAAGGAGAAATAAACGGGAATAACGATAAATAATTCGTGAAATGAGGGATTTAAATAAATTTCCATAATTGAACAATTAAGTGAATTATTATACTGAAGGTGAAGTACTGCGGAAAATCGATTAGGAACGAACTATGATGTAACAGTTGCCGAACAAATCGCACCGTGCAGTAGATAGATGCATGTTTGGCCACTTGTACAGTCTCTATATATATGCAACTATCGTCAGCCTTATGTGACATTGGCTCGACACGGTGGCCATATGCCTCGTTGAACATCGTGATACACCGTCATTGTGTTGTCAGTGCCATCGACACGAGCCCTCTAAATCTCCACGTTACAGTCAAGAGATGCGACAGCTCTGTTTCATTGTCGTCGAACCGTTCTCCTCTCTATGCGCTACCACTTTGCTCGTCTTTTTCCTCCGTTCCTCTTGAAACTCACTCCTCGTTCTTTTCTCGTCCTTTTGAAGTAAAAAACTTTCCACAAATTGAAGAAAAACACGATAAACAGCGCATCATCGAACATTTCATCACCTCCAAAGTTTTTTAAACATTATTCAGTTTAAATGTCATAACATTATCAAAGATATGAAAATGTTGTTTGCCACGATAATTTAATCCTCGACTTCCACGAAACTCTGTGATTTTTTCTTTTTTTTTTAATTCTCATCCTTGATTTGCGTCCTATTTATAAACGACTCGACTTTTTCGTTTTTAACTCTAGCAACTCTTTCCCATTTAATTAAATAACTAAAAATATTGCAATGCATTCCTCTTAAATTTTTTTCAATACCGGTAGTGCATGACCGATGTTTTCATGTTCCTCTCCTGTGCCAGAATCCCCAATCTATTTCCTTCTAAATATTCCTTTATCTCAATCGTCAATTCTTTTATCTATCGATATTCGTTATTAACTCCGCCATTCTTCCGTTCCTTTCTCTCTCTCTCTCTCTCTCTCTCTCTCTCTCTCTCTCTCTCTGTTTATTTGATCCCTTATCGAAGCCATTCTTTACAGAACATCGTGACAACAATTTTATTCACTGGTAGTAGGGGGTAAAATAAATCCAGTTTTTCGACCTGACGGCTTATTCTACTTTTTCTCTACTCTCTATTCTCGGTCGTCGTTGCAGCCGCGACGGTTCCTCCGTCTTTCGCTTTTCATGGTGGAGCCGAGAGTACTTGGTCGATACGATGCAGAGTCCCCATTCGAGTCGCGGCCATCTGGCTCTCGTGCGTCGATTCTCCTTCCGATTCAGCCTCGAAAATCGAGGGAAATCACGTGCACGCCGGCCGAGACGCCAGGGATCTCTAATCCTGAGCATTTCGTGGCCCCTCGAGGATGCCCTCGCTGCCACGCTACTAAATTTCCCTAGATGTACGTACGGTGGAACGCCAACGGGGAAAAAATACCGGCGGAAAGTGGCGGTGAAACATACAAATGCGCGTTTCGCTCGCGGATATAGCTAACGTGCGGGAATAGTCTGGACCCGCTGGACTCGATAGAAAAATGACAAGAAACTGCCTGTACTTCTTTCTGTCAAAACAGATATTTAGAAAATCAACTTCTAGCCCAGTCGTCTTACAAATATTTTTCTTCTGGCAACAACAACTAGAGACAATAATAACGCCAGCTATTAATTATTTACAATTTCTTTCTTATTTATATGAACAATTTACAAATCCATTATCGCTTGACAATCTCGAAAGAAGTAAATTTTGTTCCGAAATTTCTTTCATCTCTTTGACAATTCGTGACTTACAGTGTAACATCGAGGAATAGGAAAATTTTCAAGAGGAGTACGAGAATTCTTACCTGAGAATTTTTGCTTTCGTACCGTTTCGGAATATTTATCCGTACAATTTTCGCCTGTATTTGAAATTTGTCTCCTCAACACTGACTCACTCTTGGTCCTCGAGTTACAAGAGTCTCGTCCTTTTTTTCGCATCGAAACTCGTACAACAAGAGAAATAGCGGCGATGCGTCGCTGAAGATGCTTTACGACAGAGTCTGTCCCGCGATTTATTGCGCAGTTTTATCATTTGTTCGTCTTCCGATTCGAGAACGGGAAACGTTTAGGGGTTGATTCGTGGTAGACCGCGCGGTTTACAGCTTTAATGGACCATAATTTAGGACAGAATCAACCGTAGGGACGCGGGAGAACGGAGGGAATATACACCGCGGAACGTATTTAAGCGGTACAATGTTTTATTTGAATACGATTCCGCTTGAGATATCGCGGCGTACCGCCTGATGTTTACTGACCGAACAGAAAGCAAAACCAAAAGTTTTCTCTCCGCGGAAACCTTCCCCGTGCTGTTGCGAACTATAAAACTTCGTTTTTATTGCCTGATTCGGTTATGTTGTCAGACGGTGGAGGCGATTTTACGACGACCAGAGTATCAAACTACAGAGGAAACAACTGAAATTTCACCGATCTCGATAAAGCTAAGTAGCGGATAAATTCGGCAATCCTATGGCCTTGTATCTCCG